CTGACAGGAGTCATTACTATACTTGGTTGTTGATTAGCTGTATTTAACGTGCCATTGAGAGACATTAACGTAATGTAAAATCGATGTTGTAGTTGTTTAGTTCTTTACTGAATAAACTTGTTATTGTTATAGAGAACAGTCTTTATGTCAATACCTCCCATAATATTGCTTCACTTTCCAGTATTCTGTATAGTACTACTCCATGTGAACTTTAATGAAGGCCTGCTTCTGGGAAATTCGAAACCTGATTCATAGCACCACACATCAAATAATTTGACGTGAGACCCCGTGACCTAATCTTATTAATTTGCACCTGCAATTGGCAGAGGTCCGCGACCTAGTGGATAGGGACTTCAAGCTCATTGAAGTCCTGGCGGCTGCTCCCGCCTTTCGATTTTCTCTTGCCTAAAGTATAATCTGTTACAACACTTAACGTGTTGGCTAAGCAAACCTTTCTGCTTGAGGTCCACCTCCTAAGAGAGGTAACGTAGAAAAATCTCACACCACTCAAGGGGAAGGGACTGTCTTCCGAGCTCTGAGGCAGGCCTCTTTGTCGTAGGTCCTGGAGTAATAGTATACCCTAACACCAGTAATTACACAGATCCGATTCACTGGGTAATTACAGGTGTGAAGAGGATTTATCTAAATCAGAAAGATACAGTAATTACGAGGCAATGATCGTTCAAGCACAAGCCAGACCACATGTGTCGTACGCAAGGTGTAGTAATGTGAAATAACTAAGTGAGGAATCACATAAAATTTCAGGGGAAATTGTTGAGTAAAACGATAAGGAAAAGACGGTAGATCACGTGTGCTTGTGGGAGATTCAAAGTGGTAAGACTCATTGTCAACGTGTAAGTCTGAGAGGAAGTGATTTTCCATCATCTTGAGGGACAATCAAGTGTGAAATATCCCAGAAGTGTGAAAAGCTTTTGGCGATAGCGAACGAGCGGTGTTTCGCTGTAACGAGGAACAAGAAGATGGTTGTGGAGTACTTCCCTCTTGACCTGAGTGTGTGTGTCGTTTGCTAGAGTGTGCCTTCATAGCCGCGCGGCACACCAAACGGTTCTACATTTTCACTGAATGGGTTTATATACCATAATTCTAAGAGACTAATTAGTGAGGGGGGGCATTAATTTATTCTCGAACTATTGATGGTCGTATCAAAGTGATTGACCACTTTGCCTTATGGATAAGGTTTAGTTTAGTTCATATATTATGCACCCCATACCCATCCTGTGGGCAGTAGTGGAAAGAGTTACAGAGACACATAATGAGCTCAGGCAATGAACCCCTCAATTCATTTAGCTTAGCAAGTTACAATCTTGATGAGCTAGTTGTACAATTTTATGCACATAGTCACATCAAGAATGGACTCGAGACCACAAGTACCGTTTCTAAATTAAGCAAGTGACATATGTGGAAAGCTAGTGTCACAGGTGATATGTTTATCCTACACACCGCCCCCCATCCAGGGAATAGCGGTGGATAGGTTACAATCACTTAGTTTCTACCTACAGTTAGCAAACTGGGGATATTTGGCTAAAATATCTGGTAGCAGATCATTTTGAATGAAATATTTACACATCGTAGGAACATGGGTTAAAGAACTGAATCTGAATTCACGTATCTTTTCGCACTCCATCACATAGTGACAGAGGGTGTGTGAACAATTTTGTTGACACAGCTTACATTTTGTCAGATCTACAACAGCAGATAATGAGAAATACCAGAGATACTTGTAACCGAGTCTAAGCCGAGCAGTAGTAACATCTAGAAGTCTGCTGATTTTATTGGATGAACCATAGATGTGTGGCTCCTCTTGCATGATAGTATGATGATAGATATAATTATTTGTGTCTATTTCACTTTGCCTCAGCTCTACAAGGTTTTTTTGAAGTTCTTGGTATATTATTGCTCTCAGATTGCTCATTGACAATCCAGGTTATACTAAATTTCTCCTTTAAAGGCAGATTCTTTGGCTAACTCATCAGCTCCATCATGCATTCGGAGGCCAACATGAGATGGAGACCACATGAAATGGACTTTGTTACCATCATTAATAATTTTGTTGTATTTGTGTCTAGCTGCAGACACGAGCATGTTACAGTTATGTCTTAAAGAATTGAGAGCATTTATGGATGATAAAGAGTCACTTACAATTAATTTACCAAGTTTGGAGACATGTACACATTTCAGTACAAGGATCAAGGCAAATAGTTCGGTCTGAAGGGTAGAGACCCAGTTGTTTATATGGACTTCCCACTCAAAATATAAGCCATCGCCCATTTTCAGGACAACTGCACTTCCAGCTGCACCCGTGGGGCGGTGTAGGGAACTATCAGTGTATATGATTTGAGAGAGAGAGAATGCTCTATGGGCAGAGCATATGGCTTAAGGCGTTGAGCTTTGCCTCAAAACGAAGCTTGGGCAATTGAAGCTCTAATTTGCTTCTTGGGTGGAAAGTGAGGGATTAAAATTGGAATGGGGGTAATCTCCCACGGTACAGGAAAGTGTCATTGTTGTCTCTCTTGGTACAAATGATAAATCTGAACACTTTGAGCTCAGTTCCAGTTTTAGTTATCTTTTTGGAATAATGTTGACCTTCAATAAAGAAATTTTGGAGGGCTTCGGTGCAAGGGTTAGGATGAGTTAGCCTAAGCAATTTTATACAAATTTGACAGTTCATTTCAGTAACATGATCAACGTACACTCAGAATATTAAATTTCTTTCTCAAGTTAAGTATCTTTGTGGTACGAGAACACCCAAGGATTATCCTCAAAGGCTTTGTTTTGCAATTTTTCAAGCCCTCCAAGCTTTCTTTCAAGCATCGAGGCAAGCAGAGATGCAGCATAATCCACTTATGGTCTGATGTATGCAAGGTACATCATTTTGACAATTCTGGCATTGGCACCATAGCCTGAATGATAACCTGCAACAGCCTTGAGAGCTCGGAGCCTCTCTTTATACTGACGACAGAGTCTGAATACAACAGGACCATAGAGTGGCACCTCAAGGCCAAGGTATTTGAATCTGTTTACATAGTCAAGCTGGGAGTCATCATACAGTTGCATCTTGCGAACAGTTCATCCCTACCTGGGTGTACGCCGATTGTGAATCTTTGTTTTCTCTTCTGAGATTACTAAACCTAGGTCCTGACAAGAGTTTAATACGGAGTTAAGAGTGTTCTGCGTGTTAGCATACCCAGTGGTGTGTATCATTATATCATCAACATAGCTAATGATATGGACGTTGGGTTTTCTCGGTACAGAGTTTAACAGCGTGTTTATTAAGATATTTAATAATGTAGGACTGAGGACACCTCCCTGTGGGATGCCTAGTTCGAAGTCTCTTGTTACACTCCTATGCCCCTAGAAAAATACAGATGATTTCCTGTTGGATAAGTAACCCCTGATCCAACAAAGAAGCCGACCACCAATATTTATTCCTGCAAGCTTACTCAAGATAACATGTCTATTTGCAATATCAAAAGCAGACTTGAGATCTAGGAAGGTGGTATATGACTTTTCAGTGTGCAGGGTAAGAAAGGTGGTGATGCAATGATGCACACTCCTTCCATGCATTACCTTACCTCCACCGCCCACCACATAACACTGGCACTTACCTCCACCGCCTACCACACAACACTGACACTTACCTCCACTGCCCACCACACAACACTGGCACTTACCTCCACTGCCCACCACACAACACTGGCACTTACCTCCACCGCCCACCACACAACACTGACACTTACCTCCACCGCCCACCACACAACACTGACACTTACCTCCACCGCCCACCACACAACACTGGCACTTACCTCCACCGCCCACCACAAAACACTGGCACTTACCTACACCGCCCACCTCACAACACTGGCACTTACCTCCACCGCCCACCACACAACACTGGCACTTACCTCCACCGGCCACCACACAACACTGGCACTTACCTCCACCGCCCACCACAAAACACTGGCACTTACCTACACCGCCCACCTCACAACACTGGCACTTACCTCCACCGCCCACCACACAACACTGACACTTACCTCCACCGCCCACCACACAACACTGACACTTACCTCCACCGCCCACCACACAACACTGGCACTTGTCTCCACCGCCCACCACACAACACTGGCACTTACCTCCACCGGCCACCACACAACACTGACACTTACCTCCACCGCCCACCACACAACACTGACACTTACCTCCACCGCCCACCACACAACACTGGCACTTGTCTCCACCGCCCACCTCACAACACTGGCACTTACCTCCACCGCCCACCACACAACACTGGCACTTACCTCCACCGGCCACCACACAACACTGGCACTTACCTCCACCGCCCACCTCACAACACTGGCACTTACCTCCACCGCCCACCACACAACACTGGCACTTACCTCCACCGCCCACCACACAACACTGGCACTTACCTCCACCGCCCACCACACAACACTGGCACTTACCTCCACCGCCCACCACACAACACTGGCACTTACCTCCACCGCCCACCACACAACACTGGCACTTATCTCCACCGCCCACCACACAACACTGGCACTTACCTCCACCGCCCACCACACAACACTTACCTCCACCGCCCACCACACAACACTAACACTTACCTCCACCGCCCACCTCACAACACTGGCACTTACCTCCACCGGCCACCACACAACACTGGCACTTACCTCCACCGCCCACCACACAACACTGGCACTTACCTCCACCGGCCACCACACAACACTGGCACTTACCTCCACCGCCCACCACACAACACTGACACTTACCTCCACCGGCCACCACACAACACTGGCACTTACCTCCACCGCCCACCACACAACACTGACACTTACCTCCACCGGCCACCACTCAACACTGGCACTTACCTCCACCGCCCACCACACAACACTGGCACTTACCTCCACCGCCCACCACACAACACTGGCACTTACCTCCACCGCCCACCACACAACACTTACCTCCACCGCCCACCACACAACACTGGCACTTGTCTCCTCCACAGCCCTTCTTCACCTCAGTCTCTCCCTCTGAACACTTCTTCTTGCATTGGCCACCTTTTTTTTGGCACTTTTTCTTTGTCTTGCATTCTGCTGGAGGAGCAGGACGTGGCTTAGTGTGTGGGTATGTGGCTTAGTGTGTGGGTATGTGGCTTAGTGTGTGGGTATGTGGCTTAGTGTGTGGGTATGTGGCTTAGTGTGTGGGTATGTGGATTAGTGTGTGGGTATGTGGCTTAGTGTGCTGGTATGTGGCTTAGTGTGCGGGTATGTGGCTTAGTGTGTGGGTATGTGGCTTAGTGTGTGGGTATGTGGCTTAGTGTGTGGGTATGTGGCTTAGTGTGTGGGTATGTGGATTAGTGTGTGGGAATGTGGCTTAGTGTGTGGGTATGTGGCTTAATGTGTGGGTATGTGGCTTAGTGTGTGGGTATGTGGCTTAGTGTGTGGGTATGTGGCTTAGTGTGTGGGTATGTGGATTAGTGTGTGGGTATGTGGCTTAGTGTGCTGGTATGTGGCTTAGTGTGCGGGTATGTGGCTTAGTGTGTGGGTATGTGGCTTAGTGTGTGGGTATGTGGCTTAGTGTGTGGGTATGTGACTTAGTGTGTGGGTATGTGGCTTAGTGTGTGGGTATGTGGCTTAGTGTGTGGGTATGTGGCTTAGTGTGTGGGTATGTGGCTTAGTGTGTGGGTATGTGGCTTAGTGTGTGGGTATGTGGCTTAGTGTGTGGGTATGTGGATTAGTGTGTGGGTATGTGGCTTAGTGTGCTGGTATGTGGCTTAGTGTGCGGGTATGTGGCTTAGTGTGTGGGTATGTGGCTTAATGTGTGGGTATGTGGCTTAGTGTGTGGGTATGTGGCTTAGTGTGCGGGTATGTGGCTTAGTGTGCTGGTATGTGGCTTAGTGTGCTGGTATGTGGCTTAGTGTGCTGGTATGTGGCTTAGTGTGCTGGTATGTGGCTTAGTGTGTGGGTATGTGGCTTAGTGTGCTGGTATGTGGCTTAGTGTGCGGGTATGTGGCTTAGTGTGTGGGTATGTGGCTTAGTGTGCTGGTATGTGGCTTAGTGTGCGGGTATGTGGCTTAGTGTGTGGGTATGTGGCTTAGTGTGTGGGTATGTGGCTTAGTGTGTGGGTATGTGGCTTAGTGTGTGGGTATGTGGCTTAGTGTGTGGGTATGTGGCTTAGTGTGTGGGTATGTGGCTTAGTGTGTGGGTATGTGGCTTAGTGTGTGGGTATGTGGCTTAGTGTGTGGGAATGTGGCTTAGTGTGTGGGTATGTGGCTTAGTGTGGGGTATGTGGCTTAGTGTGCGGGTATGTGGCTTAATTTGTGGATATGTGGCTTAGTGTGGGGTTTGTGGCTTAGTGTGTGGGTATGTGGCTTAGTATTGGGTATGTGGCTTAGTGTGCGGGTATGTGGCTTAATGTGTGGGTATGTGAATTAGTGAGTGCATACGTGTTTTAGTGTGTGGGTATGTTACTTAGTGTGGGGGTATGTGACTTAGTGTGTGGGTATGTTATTTAATGTGTGGGTATGTTACTTAGTGTGTGGGTATGTTACTCAGTGTGTGGGTGTGTGACTTAGTGTGTGGGTGTGTGACTTAGTGTGTGGGTATGTGACTTAGTGTGTGGGTATGTGACTTTAGTGTGTGGGTATGTGACTTAGTGTGTGGGTATGTGACTTAGTGTGTGGGTATGTGACTTAGTGTGTGGGTATGTGACTTAGTGTGTGGGTATGTGACTTAGTGTGTGGGTATGTGACTTAGTGTGTGGGTATGTGACTTAGTGTGTGGGTATGTGACTTAGTGTGTGGGTATGTGACTTAGTGTGTGGGAATGTTGTAACACCATAAAGGTGTTTGGTTTAGTTGTATTTAAAATACATAGAGATACATGAGTCAGAAACAAGGATTTGAGAGGCGCCAGTTTGGTCGGCCTGAGTCTCACACCTCTAAGTGTTAATGACCTCAAGTGACCTGAGGTCAGATCATGCGAATTCCACCTTGCTTCTGCTAATCTGATAATTGGCCTTCAAACATGCCGACGTTTAAGGAGTGGCTTGGTAGAGTGCCCGAGGCTATCTACTTGTGGGCGGAGTTAGTTACTAGGTTCCCCAATATATACTCGGATAGCAGAGCATAGAGACGGAGAATAGGAGACAGGAGCCAGCAAAGCCGAGGAGAAGACGGCCTAGCCAGGGAGGCTGTCAGTCGGCAGGGCGGGACAGTCTCTGTCAACTACAAACCCCCACCCCCCCTCTCAATCCAGCTATAGGCAGACACTTGGTGAGTTGAACATTAAGGTGACTTGGTCGTGTTTACAAGTGTTGTGTGAGGATCAGTGGCAGTCAAGTTGTAGGGTTCTCGAATTCTTGGATGATGACTCACTTTGCATCTTGAACATTAAGTTGAATTGCTTAACTTATGATATTATGTGAAATATAATTGAAGTTATTATTTAAATTGTCTTTAACTTTGTTCCCTAGAGTTTTTGAGTTGAGATGAGAAAGCCTCTGTGGTTTCATGATTTAATGAGTACATGATACAGATGGAACATACTAATAATGACCTCTTGATAACATTTGAGAATATTGTGATACAGACAAGTTCCATTCCTTGTCTTGTATGTAATGGTCTAGAATGGATGGTAGCAGCATTTCTTCTTCTACTATCTACTCTTCTAATTTTACTATCTATTTTTCTAATTCTACCTATCTATCTACTCCTCTCCCTCCACCCCTCTCCGAACTTTCCCTTTCAACTAACGACCCTCCTCACTACTCCCACCTCTCTACCTCCCCTCACCCCACACCCTCACTAATTACTTCATTATCCATTTCTTCCTTTTCGTTTCTCTTATACGTTTGTGGCAGTGAAATGTATTCTAGAGTTCTCTCTAGAGTTTCGGGTAGCTGATCAAGTTACGGCGCCTTGTACTCGTAGCACCTAGGTAGTCAAATACCTAGGTTACAAGGTGTTGAACGAGAGAGGTTGCCTTAGGAACTCTGGGAGTGCTCTAGAATAGTTAGCTAACTGGGGACGGGATAACGGACTAGAGAGAGCTGTTTCCCCCAGCCTCGTTAGTTAACTGGGGGGTGGAATAATGGACAAGAGAGAGCCATTCCCCCCCCCCCCCGTTACAATGTGACTTAGTGTGTGGGTATGTGACTTAGTGTGTGGGTATGTGACTTAGTGTGTGGGTATGTGACTTAGTGTGTGGGTATGTTACTTAGTGTGTGGGTATGTGACTTAGTGTGTGGGTATGTGACTTAGTGTGTGGGTATGTGACTTAGTGTGTGGGTATGTGACTTAGTGTGTGGGTATGTGACTTAGTGTGTGGGTATGTGACTTAGTGTGTGGGTATGTGACTTAGTGTGTGGGTATGTGACTTAGTGTGTGGGTGTGACTTAGGGTATGTGACTTAGTGTGTGGGTATGTGACTTAGTATGTGGGTATGTGACTTAGTGTGTGGGTATGTGACTTAGTGTGTGGGTATGTGACTTAGTGTGTGGGTATGTGACTTAGTGTGTGGGTATGTGACTTAGTGTGTGGGTATGTGACTTAGTGTGTGGGTATGTGACTTAGTGTGTGGGTATGTGACTTAGTGTGTGGGTATGTGGCTTAGTGTGTGGGTATGTGACTTAGTGTGTGGGTTTGTTACTTAGTGAGTGGGTATGTAACTTAGTGTGTGGGTATGTGACTTAGTGTGACTATGGTGGCTATGGCCCGTCTGTGGCTACTGCAGGTAGGGTGCACGGCCGGACACACAGCAAAGTGAGACCCGTCTGAGAGCCCACAGCCGGACACACAGCAAAGTGAGACCCGTCTGAGAGCCCACAGCCGAGCGATTACCACCATCCATCACTGGCTCCTGCAGAAGGTCTGAGGCCGGCTACAAACTGTCACTACAGCAGGATGCTGTGTCAGTGGTTTACGTTATCGGCTCCCAAGCGATAGACCCGGGTTCAGTTCCCTCAGGCAGGACGGAAACTATTGGACATGTTTCCTTTCACCTGATGCCTGTGTTTACCTAGCAGCTAAATAGATATCCGGGAGATAAGCAATTGTGAGTTCCATCCGGGGCGAAATCAGTAATTTGTTGTGACATAAACATTGCATATATTAAAGTAGAGAATTTATTCAGTATTTTCCAAGTATGAGTAGAGTAAATCGGGAAAAGGGGGGGGGGGGGCAGCATGGGACATGTGACAAGCCGCCGGCTTCATGCCATCGTCGACGCTAGAATGGTGTTACAAGCTCTCGCGTAAATTAAGGTAAAATGACTAAAGTGTTGTGGTATATGGGGGGGGGGGTAGTAGCAAGGGTGCTCAAGTGTTGTGGTATATGGGGGGGGGGGGGGGGGGTAGTAACAAGTGGTGCTCAAGTGTTGTGGTATATGGGGGGGGGTAACAAGTGGTGCTCAAGTGTTGTGGTATATGGGGGGGGGTAACAAGTGGTGCTCAAGTGTTGTGGTATATGGGGGGGGTAACAAGTGGTGCTCAAGTGTTGTGGTATATGGGGGGGGGGGTAACAAGTGGTGCTCAAGTGTTGTGGTATATGGGGGGGGTAGTAACAAGTGGTGCTCAAGTGTTGTGGTATATGGGGGGGGGGGTAACAAGTGGTGCTCAAGTGTTGTGGTATATGGGGGGGGGTAGTAACAAGTGGTGCTCAAATGTTGTGGTATATGGGGGGGGTAGTAACAAGTGGTGCTCAAGTGTTGTGGTATATGGGGGGGGTAGTAACAAGTGGTGCTCAAGTGTTGTGGTATATGGGGGGGGGGGGTAACAAGTGGTGCTCAAGTGTTGTGGTATATGGGGGGGGGTAGTAACAAGTGGTGCTCAAGTGTTGTGGTATATGGGGGGGGGTAGTAACAAGTGGTGCTCAAGTGTTGTGGTATATGGGGGGGGGGTAACAAGTGGTGCTCAAGTGTTGTGGTATATGGGGGGGGGGGTAGTAACAAGTGGTGCTCAAGTGTTGTGGTATATGGGGGGGGGGGGGTAACAAGTGGTGCTCAAGTGTTGTGGTATATGGGGGGGGGGTAGTAACAAGTGGTGCTCAAGTGTTGTGGTATATGGGGGGGGGGGGTAACAAGTGGTGCTCAAG